CTCAGCTGGGCGCCGCCTCGCTGGCAGCGGGAAGTTGGCTCACAGCTTCTCAGCCCTTCTACTTTTCTTGCTTCTGAAGCCTTTGGGGTGCCTGGAGGGCCCCTTGAAGGTTAGAGGGGGAGTAGGTGTGTCCTCGGGCCTGGCTGGGGGCTGGCATCGCCAAGATCCGGACTGCAAGCCTGCAGGGGAGGTAGGGAAGTGGAGGCCTGCCAGGGCTGCTCCTCCACTGTAGCAGGGCTGGGCAGCAGCCTGGGGGACAAAAAGAGCCCCAGGGAGGGGCGGATTGCAGCAAGGCAGGCTCAGAGGCTGGAAGGATGCTGGGAGGGACGGTGGGGGCCGTGGCAGGCCCATTCCAGGGAGTGGTGTCACCTAGACCCCAGGGCCAGGTCGGTCAGGGGGGAGCAGCCTGTGTCAGCGATTCTCCAGGGCTTCAGTGCCCCCATGAGGAGAGGGTATGGACTTGATAAATTCGCACCTCAGAGCTGAGGAGCAGAGACTGCAGGAAGCTACCAGGCAGCATCAGGCTTTCAGAGCAGACATGCCAGGCTGACTGTGGATGTCCAGGTCCCAGCCCTGCTCCCTCTTACACGGATGACAGAAGGACAGAACGAGTGGGAAGTTAACAGGGCTGTGAAGCTCATTGGTAACTGCAGTACAGGTGAAAATCGTGGAGAGCTGGCCCTCATGTACACAGACAGCACGCGGAATGGACAAAAATCCCTGCTTCTTCCTCCATGGGTGCCCTGGGACTTGAATAAGGTAAAACAAAACAAAACCTCGCAACAAATGCCCCTACGCCTGTTCCCTGAATTATGTAATAAGAATACCCAGGTGGCACCTGGCTTAAGAAGGAGCACATTACACATCAGAAACTTCTAGGGCTGTGGGCAGCTTTCCGAGCATGGCGGAAGCCCTGTGTCCAATCCCCTTGAACAGAAAATGAAAAAGAAACTTCCAGTTCGCAGCCCTGCACTGTAGGCTGAACAGTCCTGCACACTAAGCTGCCGTCCTAGGACTGTTACAGGTCTGAGCCCCCGCGGTGCCTGGGCCGCCTTCATTTCGTGTCCCTCTGTTCTTGCAGCACTAGTCTTTTATTAGTAGCACTGCCTTACATTTCTTTACGATATAAAATCCATACTAGTACACACGATTCTACATCTATACTAGAAGCAGTGTGTTGTTTGGCTGTTGAACATCCCTTTGTTTTTCCTGGTGATTTCTGCTGTTCGTTCTGCCGGAAGAGCCCCTCCATCACTGCCACAGTTGAACGGAATCTGTTGATGAAGTTAACATTTCCGCACATCTTGTTGGTTCTGGGCTTTCTCCCCCGAGCCCTGGCTCGGGTCCTGGCGTGTGTCCCTCAGGCCTGCGTGCATAAGTCCTGCAAGCGCACCCTTAGAGTTGCTCAACCTGAGGTTACATGCCTATTTACCCATTTTAGGTGTTATCCATTTATGTTACACATTGCTTGTGTCTGTTTTCTAGCTGATGTCTAACTTTAATGTTGAGTAATCTTTTGGGTGACAATTGGAATTTTACTGGTGGTTTAAGCACTTATATTCTAATTATTAATGGGGCTGAATCTTTTGCTCTTTCTTTATTTACTTTTCTCACTGCTGAGACAAAGTCCCTAACATTCTAAGTGACAGGAGGAAAGGTTTATTTCCGTTCATGGGGTGTGGCGGTTTCAATCCATAATCAACTGGCACAAAAAAAGCTGGCTGTTGTGGCAGAGGGCCAAAGGAGAAGCAGTTCACAGCAGAGAGAAGGCGGCAAAGGCAGCAAGCCACGAGGGAGAATCCCAGCTCTGTGTCCCTTGCATCTCTTCCCTGGGGGCGGGTGGCTATCCCACATGCAATCCCAGCATCAGGCAGTAAGTGAATCCCAGTTCCTCACCCCTCCTCACAGCGGCTCTTATGGTGTCTAGATGCTCCCAAAGCCTCGTGGAGTCATTC